GGCGATCTTCACGGTCTGTTGTTCTACGGCGGCGTCCAGTACCCCTTGCTCTTTGCGTACGGCCTTCTCGAAGCCATGCCTGACAACACCTAACCACAGTGTCTACACTTCTTTGCACTCTAATTGCAATTGCCCGAAAAGAAAGTCCAGCTTCCCGAAGTCCCACTATACGGCCCCTATCAAACTCACTAAGTTGACGAAATCGTACAGATCTCCGTACTCTAGGCATCGTAACCGATCGTAAAGGATGTCAATAACCAAAATCCGCCAACGTTGATCCTTTACTGCGTCTGAAATATTCATTTTTAGAGCGTTACTGAATTAAAAAAAAAGCAGTATAAAAACCGGAATGTCCAACTGATAAGGCTGAAAATTTTTTCACTTGTTATTTACAGTAAGATAAATATATTCACCAACTTTTATTAAAATAAAGCCATTTAAACTGGGTGTTCGAATTTATATGTCACTTAGTATAGATCCTGTGGATGATTCTAAGAACCTAGGTATTATAGTGGGTGATGATTTGAAATTTAATAAACACACAAACCAGCTAGTTTCTCAGTGGTACCCTATTCTCAAAGTTTTATTCGCAAATTACATAAATCTGCGAGGAAAAAATATATAGATCTTTATTATTTTAAAAACATCGTATTGCTTAATAGTTTACTCTCCATATTTAGATATTATAAAAAATCGCGGACAAAGTATTACGAGTACATATTGCAGGCTTGTAAATGATCCCAGAAAATACGATGATGTATGACCTCAACTGGACGAAAATTCATAAACTGTATGAATACTAGCTACTAAGTCTCAATACAATCAAATTATATAATTCCTAAGACCGTAGTTTAAACAAAAATCTTTTGTAACGAATAAGTGTTACGTGACATTATGTAGGTATGTAACTTTTTAAGTTGAATTGTTTATGGTTATGATTCGCATAGTTTTCTTACCAATGTTGTCACTGTACTTTTGTAATTAAATAATTATTGTTTGTGGCTATGATTCGCATGAGTTTCTTCAAAACAGCATATATTCTTCAATAACTGAGATATTGACATGACTCAAAAAAGAACTATTGAGAAAAGTTGAGGCTTGAAATTCTCATACAAAGACACATTATTCAGTAATCCAATGTTTCCACAGGGTGTTCAGAAGTTTAGGGCAAAAATCACCTTTTAATAATAACAAACATTTTTCATTTTTTTACAAGATCTGCAGTTGATAATGATGACAACGAAATTACCTACAACTTGTCTAAAAAATTAACGAAATCGATGCACAGGTTAAAAAGTTATTTCAAATTCAATTTGAATAAAATTTTTGTTTGTCGTGTTAATTTTGCGTGGCAGTGTATTATACATATACATTAATAATCAAAACTCCAGTCAAAACTATCAAGCCAATCTGCTCAACTCCATTTGTTTAAAACGGCTGACGTTTGGTACACTGTACAAGCGAGAAAATTGGTTTATGCAAAGCAGTGAAGTGAATTTGCCACATTAACTTCCTTTTCGGCACTTTCGAGCTTCATTATGTATAATTTGACGCGATTTTTCACGGCGCGGTACTTAAAAGGAATAAATCGCCTGTGAAATCCTAAATAATTTTCTCTGATATATTTTTCGCGATAAATTTCAGTGCCTCGTATGATTTGTGGCTTCGACAATAAATTTTCTGCCAGGCAAAGGTCTAGAAAACACATAGAACTGATTTAAACATAGCCATAAAGAACGGCGGATATATAAGAAGCCGCTATGGACAGCAACAATATATTAAAAGGATATGATGTATGATGTAGTTGATGCTGTTGGTAATATTAGATGTTATTCCTATTTATTTTTTATTTGTTAACTTCTAGAATAGAGCCTCTTAAACTTTTATTTATCAGACCACAGACAGCAAACACTGGATAGATGTTTCGTGCTATTTGGCAACTGTTCAGCTTGGTGCAGGTTTGTACAATTAATGAAAGCTATATTAGTATTGTGTTCAATGGTAGCACGTATCTTCTATAGGACCAGAATCAGAGGCATCAATGCAAACTGACATACAGTTCCAACTGACAGCTTACTATTTTCACTTGCGCAGTAGTTCTGGTGATATAATCAGCGTTTATAGTAAGCGTTTATTGCCCAACAGTTTAACACCATTTACAGAGCAAACTACTATAAAAAAAATGAAATCAGCATGAGGTAGCTTGTGAAGAAAAAAAAACAATAATAATTCATGTATCAATACCAAAAAATAAATATAGCTACAGCTTAAAAATAAGAAACCTAACATAAATCGAAAGTGAGCACGCAATTTGCACTTCAATTCACCTATGCTACATAAGAATATGTCACATACATCGGCTATTTTATTCGCATTCACACACATCATATTGACAGGCGCTTTCGACAATAAGTTTGTTTGAGCTCTTTAACATAAAAAAGGAACATTATACCTTGATGTTAGTCGTGGTACCAGAAACTGTATTTGTGAAAGCATTGTGGGGCAGTCTATTAGATTATGCAGTAATTTATATAAAACTATAACTGCTGATTGCTTACGCCGTTGTTCTAAGGATTGAATGCCAAATTTATGAAGAAGGATGTTGTATTCTGTACCTCTAGTAGGATATATGCCATCGATTTTAAAACATGAAAATTTTAAAAAATTATTTTGAAGTTTATCAACAACATCAATATACTGCTTGTAAATCGGACTCCATATCAAAGATCCATATTCAAGCTTAGACCTAACCAAGCTAAAGTATAATGTCTGCAAAGTCAAAACGTCAAAAGATTTACAATTCCTGAAAACGAACCCATAGGTTCGGTAAGCGCTTGAAATAATTTGATTGATATGATCATTAAAGGTTAGATGTTGATCAAAGTAGATACCTAAGTCTTTCACAGTTTCACTGCGCTCAAGAACATGTTCGATCATTGTATAATTATATACCATGGGGTTGGTTTTCCTTGAAAAAGCTACTACTTTACACTTACTTATATTAAGATGAAGTTGATTCTTGGCACACCAGCTTTGCAATTTATTTATTTGACCTTGAACAAATGCACAGTCTTCCAAGCATGAAACGAATGAATAAAATTTTAGGTCGTCTGCGAACATTAACTGAAAACAAGCCAAAGATTCCACAGATCATTCACAAACAATATGAATAACAGTGGTCCTAAATTCGAATCCACTGGTTGAGACATAAACATGTGATATGTAGCCATTATAAAAAACATACTGTTTCCTTTCAAACAGATATGATGATAAGAGGGCTAGGTAAATGTTGTTGAAGCCCATGTACTCAAGCTTTCGGAGCAAAATACTGTGGCTGACCCTATGGAAGGCCTTGGAGAAATCGGTGTACACCACATCTACCTGTCCTCTATTGTCTAATCTATCGCACAAGTATTGGCTAAATACCATTAAGTTTGTTAGTGTTGAACGCTGCCTTATAAAAACATGTTGGTCGATGGAAATATTATTTTTAGTGGACAGGTAAATGCGGTTGTACAGTACGATCTCCAAGAGTTTTGCAAAATTATTGAGTATAGCTACAGCCCTATATTCACTGATACAGTGATAATTTTTTGACTTTGGAATTGGGCAAACTTTTGCAATTTTCTATTCATCGGGGAAAACAGTCGTTGTTAGGATTAAATTGAATATAACCCGTAAAGGATGAACTAATTTCCTGATACAATCTCTAACAATAAAAGATGGGATTTGATCAGGTCCAGCAGTCAATTTACTTTTAAGCTTTCTACAGGCCACTAAAATTTCCTCACCTTATATTGGCTCACAACTAATGTCGACGAGTCCACTATGACTGAAATCAAAGTTTAACTCAGAATCGACATTAGCAGTTGAGTAAACGCTGGAGAAAAAATCAGCGAAGGTGTTGACTATACTTTGCGGATCACCAAATGAGTCGTTTCCATACAACATTCTATTGGGAATCCTAGAAGTGTTGTTTTTACTATGTACGAAAGACCAGAAAGGCTTATGGTCATCATTTAGCTGATTTTGAATGGTTTGAAGATAGATATTATATGTCTCTTTGGTTCTAAGCTTAAATATTTTCCTGATTCTGCCGAATTCTTGGTAATCTTCGTTAGCACCAGACCTTTTAATTTTTTTGTGCGCTTTGTCTTTTTGTTTTACTAGTTTTATAATTTCACTGGTGTACCAAGAGGGACATTTATGCCTGAAATTTTTATATTGTGGAACGTGTGCATCAAATAATTCGTAAAGTTTGGTATAAAATGCATTAATTGCATCATTTGTGTCACTAGTGTTATCCAAGAAATCCCAATTAACCAATAACAAAGAATTATACAGCGAAAAAAAGTTAGCACGTCTAAAATTATATCTTTATTGGTCACTACTGACTGTGACGTATTCACTCTTTTTGCAGACAGTTTTTAATGTTACAGACAAAGAAGGATGATAGGTGGTATTTGGAGCTATTCGCTTGTGTGGTCCGGGTAACCTTTATAAAACCGAGTGTGTGTATAATTTGAAAGACAATTTAAATGTTCAAGGGAAAAGTTACTAACCATTGTTCGAACACGGCAAAATTAAAATTTTGTCATCTATTAATGCTCCATCAATGTTCTCGCAGCTGACGATTGACAACATTCGTGACGAGCTAATTGAAAAATGACACGGTTGTTTTCACAATTCCATTAAATCGTTTAGGGTACAAAGATGTCCATATAATGTCTGTAGTTGTGAAGAAGATGCTAGAAGTTATCGATATTTTAAAGGGTTTCAAATATTGCCAGACTTTTTGTCATTTTCTTTTATACCAATGCGCCTGAGAGATCAAAGCACCCTTGTGAAAAAAATTGAGAAAACCTTCTTATAAGGTTTTTCCGTTTGTTATGCTGAAAAATTCAGCAGAGCAAGGGAAAACAAGTTGTTCTCTTCTAATTTCGAGCAAATTGGGCTTGTCGAATTGTCCAGTATTTAATTCCCTACAGCCGCTATTTAATTTATACGTCGTAATTTAAAACAGGACTACTGTCGACGTCACTTTTTCCAACTCCATCTCCCATGCCCAACCAGCTAACGGAATTTTCCTTAATTTGTAACTACAGAAAAATACATTTGTAAAGAAGCAAAGCACGACGGAGCACAGCCGGGAGGGTCAATAAAAGGAAAGTTAATGAGAAACTTCTAAATGCTTTTAACTTGCTTACATTGCCTTTTGCAACAAGCGGGATGCTCCCATTTCCCAGTGCCGTCGAAGTCTTTATCCCATCGTCTCTTTCGTGGCACCAAAAAAGAAAAGTTTATGCTTTCAATTCTCTCAAAATACTACTGAATAACATTTTTCACGGCGGAGCTATACTTTAGCGCATATCACAAATATTACATTTCTTATTTTAAAATGAAAAATTAGGATGTAACTTGCACGAAAATATCATTTTTTTTTAAGGAACCCTCTGCTTGCTATTTTATAGAACGTCAAAGTTGCATTTTGTGTCATAATACTGTGGTATAGGAAACTGCTTTATAAGATGCTTTTTTCTTGTTTACACAAAAAATTGCTCAAAATTATATGAATATAACATACAATGTAAATTACTGTGACACTATTCATCGCAATAATGCATTTCTGCATTATTTAAATGATGACAATAGTTCACTGTTAAGTAGTAACTTCTTTTATTTCAGATAAATATTCCCATCACTACACCACCATCACTATCCTACTCTCTCCATCTAGTTGCGATGTTGCCATCTCATGGCTTTGTCAAATGCTTACTTATATACTAGCGCAAAAATGCAATCGACACAGGATTGTCATGAAAATGCGATTTGGAGGTGTGGCCGGCAAGTTTTACTGCACTAAATCCATCACGTGCCCTACAATAGCGTTAAATAAATACACTTTTTTGAAGAATGACTTATGCCCTTTACAAAAGTACTTCGGTTATTGTTTTTCCTATATTATAGTTACAATCTATTTACTTTTTGTATGTATATACTTGAAGAATTTTTTAAAGTGAAGCTGATGTCACAACATGTACCTACTTAATTAAATGTGATATATATGAGAAATAACTGAAAAAGGAGCTGTTGCCAATCACTAAATAATGAAAACATACCAAAGAACATTGCAAGTTTTTTTTGATTTGATGAAATGTTCGTTGACCTTTATTTAAATATAATGTTGGACGATGATAGGTTGGGTGGACCTAGCGAGGTGGTCCAAATCGACGAATCTAAGTTGTTTTTTTTTATATGCAATGTACGCTGGTGCCTTTTGTATTTTCTGTCACGCGAACCGCTGCTGCATTTTGCACTGTTTAGACACATACTGTTCAAAATGTCTTCTAGTTTTCGGTAAATATTGGGTCAACTTCTCATAAAACAAGCCATTTACAATAAATTAAGACTTTTATTTTGCAAATAACCTCATTTTTTATCACGTATTTCTCCCAGCAAAGGTACAACTTGGCAACTATGGACATCATTCATGTTATCTGTCAAGAAATGAACGTTACAAAATGGCCGTTCAGAATTGTTTGTACTTTCAAATATTTCTTATAAACGCAAAAACCTTGATCTCATTGAAAATACGCGAAAAAAATGGTTAAGGAATTTCAGGAAGACTTTGAAAAATCACATCACAACACCTCTAGACAGTTTACCAAGTAAATACCACCATTTACGTATGCATTTTGAACTGTTATTTAAGCTAATACGCTAATGTGTAATTACACGGCTGGTTTTGTACCTTTTTTTGCAAAAAACAACGATTTTTTACAGTTTCATGTCTGTTTTCCTTAGTACTATACAGAGTATGCTATACTCTTATAATTTAGAGCATCATTTTGTGCAAAAAGAAAAAAAAATCGTACGAAACAGTATTCCATTCTACAGTATTACCACAAAAAATGCAAGTTTGGAGTTCTATAAAATCGCAGGGTGTTCCTTAAAGAAAAAATGATATATTCGTGTAAGTTATATCTTAATCTTTCATTTTAAAGTAAGAATTATTTGCGATGTGCTCTAAAGTATGGTCTTACCTTTTTGACTTCTAACCCTAGAAATTGCCATTATTGACAGTAATGTAGCTTTACTCTTTATTTGGGTGTTTCTTACGGAAACCATATCTCGGAGTATCCTAAAATAATTTTATGAAGAAAAGTCTATTCTAACATTATGTCCGCAATGACTTAAATTTTACCTACAGGGTTTTGAATTGTTATTTTTATATTTGGTTTGGTATAAGCGGATATAAAATAGGATCATTCAATGAGAAAAGTTACTGTATTGTGCCATCAGTGGCGTCCATGAGAACATTCCTTGTGGAATTGTTTACAAAAAAATTGGTAGGACACTACCGATTTTAAACACAGGAACCGCCATTGCCTATTTGGTGCTAATCGACGTATGATCAATATATTTGCATTTTTAATTCCACTGAAAAGCTGCTCTAATTGTTCTATCCCAGCCTGTGGTAGAAAAATTGTGCTCCAACTTTACTCCGCGTCCATATGGCCCGCCTAACTCCTAACTTTTAGCATTCGTTTATACTGTCAACATGGAACAATAAGTTAATAATGTCTATTATTGCTTAACTGATTAGGATTGATATGTCGGATACTTGGACAGACATCATCTTTATTATAGAATCCATTGTCATTTTCTCTGGTTTCCGTACGCCACTGCAACGCTTTACGTAGCACGTCTTGCCGAGAATCTGATTCGCATTTAACAGTAAGTTTTACCTAAAGGTTATATAAAGCAAGGCTTGGGATTCTGAGGAATTTCACCTTCACCTTAGGCGAAAGAAGGTTTTATCAAAGGAGAAGTCAAAGCAACAGTTTAGTTAGGATAAATGCAGCGCTTTCAAAGACGTTCCTAGAACACTTGGCATTCGCTCCACAACATTATTTTACCTTACGTCTTAAATACATCAACGGTCTCTTAGACACTGTTTGAGAGTTTATGTTAAAATTAGGTAACTTGTTTACTTAGATAAATTAGAAGATACAAACATTGTTTATGAAAAATATGAGAGTAATGTACTCCTCAAAGAATTAAGGGAGCAAAAAAAATCTGCGATTTCTGACAGGCAGTATTTCGGTGAAGAATTGTCATATCTATGCTTTAAAAAAAGCATTTTGTAAATTCAAGATTCTAGTTTTCAGGTTTTCTAGTCGAAAATTTTTAGGAATAACGGTTCTTGTGCAATTATAGCAGATAGTACAAGAAACATTTTTTGCAAAATTTCTGCTTTCTTCTTTTTAGTCCACGGGCTTTTTCCGTTAGGCAATAACATGCAGTAGATAGCCCATTTATTCAGCTTCAACATCCTGTTCTTGAAACGGTACGATCTCTTGTTTTGCTTCCGAAAACTGGAAGAAATCTCCTATAAGATTTTATTGCAATCACTGATAATTTTTTTTTTTGTTTCCTAATTACCGATTTTTAAAAGGTAAAGAAATTTACTTCTTGTGTTGTTCTGGAAAATCGACCGCATTTTTGAAATTGCTAATGAGGTTTTATTGTCCCTCAATGTACACCTAATAACCCTGCACGACGGCAGGTCGATCCATTGTACGGTTTCTCCGGACCGAGTGGTCAAAGTTTAAGAATGATGCAAATTCAGTGTCGGACCTTATTTCAGTCGAACGAAACACTGAACGCTCCGCGTGTGCGCGAATATAAAACCCGACACGGAAGGATGGAAGTCGATGATGACGATCACCAGAATGGAGAGAGGCTGGAGAAGAGACGAAGAGTTGAGGTCGATTGGAAGGACTCCAGCACGTACCTTGGAGTCAAGATGCACCAAAAACTCACTTGGAGGAACCATGTCGAGGGCCAGGTGCAGAAAGTGAAGATGACACGCTCCAAACTAAGACCTTTAATAGGCAGAAGAAGCAAAGTGTCCTTAAAGAATAAGACCATCATGATTCAGATGGTGCTGCTCCAAATTATGACTTACACAGCAGTAACTTGGGGCTACGTTTCCAAAACGATGAAGAAGAGAATCCAAGCTCAACAAAACATAGCACTCCGTGAGGCGATGGACGAAAGTTATTTGAAAAGAACGAAAGACATCGAAATGTGCTGATTAAAAACGCCTTGGATTACGACCCAAGAACAATAAGGCGTCATAAAAGACCGAAAAGCCAGCTACAACAAGAAGAAATTTTACCCTAGAAGCTAATGAGGCCAAAGAAAAGGGGAGAAGACAGACAATAGTTGTACACCCAAGAGGGGAAAGAACAGCCCGTGTACAATGGGTGGACAAAAAGAAGCCTGTCGATTGAGCTGGCCAGAGTCAAGCACGGACTCGGGGCTAACCTCAGGAGACGCAGACAAACTGCAAATGACTGACTGACTCCAGTCGACGAGGAAAGAGCTAAGGCTCACCAACCCTAATGCGTGGCTTAGGTCAAAGCCCCCAGCGCAGGACCACAAAGAAAGAGGCCGTCCATAAAGTCGAGAACCGACAGTTGGAAGAAACGTTCACCACGTGCTTCCGCGACGCGTGCGCGATCGAGTCAAATTTCGGGAAAAAGGGCAAAATTGGGGAGGGGGTTAGCTCGTTCGGCAGCACACAGTCGGGCAATGCGCAGCGGCCTGAACCACGCAGCGCCACGCCAGGCCTTCGGGCGGGAGAGGAGGGAAGAGCAGATTGCTCTTCCCCCCATTCCTCAAGGGTTTGAGGTTGCCTGGAACAGGGGTGGTGGAGGGACCGCACAGGGTAGGAGGGTGTGTGTGTATGTGTGTGTAGAAGCGGATACCCCTAAGGTATCAAAAATACGTTTTTTTTCTAAGCTCACCTTCTTTGTTGGCTAACAGAAAAACGCAATCCTTTCAAACGAAATCTTTTTTTTAATTCAGGGAAAAAATGAACTAAATTTTTTGTATGAATCAATTTTTTTATCGAATTCGATGTGTTTGTCAAGAACCATTCGTTTCTGCGAATGTTCAAACCCGTGGACTAAAAAGAAGACAAACAATTTTTTCTTGCGCTATCTGTGAGATATGTATGAGAACCGTTGCTCCTAAAATTTTTTCCAGAAACCTGAAAACTAGAATCTTGAGGCTTTACTTTTTTTTAAAG